TTTGACATGTGTTTCAGATAGAAAAACTTCAGATCTATAGTACAAATTCTGTTCATTTTTTGAAAATTTTCTGCTTTTCTTATGAAAACTTCCTTGAAAGGAAACACTGTTGAACATTTTGTGAAGATGATGTGTTTTAACATAGTTTAATGTTATATGGTAATAGATAAAAGCATGTTCGGCATTCTGCTCTTCCGATTGCTATTGCTGTTATCAAGTTATGAAGTTTATACTCATGCTTCCATAAATCCAAGGGGAAAAGTGTAGGCACCCAGCATCCTAGCACCTCAGCATCTGATCTGCACCTCAGCACCTGTTTGGCACCTTCGGCACCTAGTCAGCACCTACAGCACCTGTTCGTCACCTTTATCGAATTTACTATGAGCACCTTCGGCACCTTCAACCATTTTTTCACTATCTTAAGTACTTTTCAGCACCTTGCGAGAAAATTTAAAGGGCAGAGCCTAGGCAATAAATTTTATCCCAAGGTGCTGAAAAAGTACGTAAGATAGTGAAAAAATGGTTGAAGGTACTGAAGGTGCTCATAGTAAATTCGATAAAGGTGTCGAACAGGTGCTGTAGGTGCTGACTAGGTGCCGAAAGTGCGGAACAGGTGCTGAGGTGTTGAGCATATGCTGAGGTATCAGGGTGCTGGGTGCCTGCACTTACCCCCTTGCATAAATCTGAGTCGAACATTAGAATAAATTCAGATATATCTATGTGATAGCAAATGATTCAATTCTATTCTGATTTTTCTGGTCCTAGAAAAACATTACCTGCTCTTTCTAACTGTCTTGACAGAAAACTATATTCTTGAATTAGGTATTAATCGATAGAATATGAAGTACATAGGAATATGAATCAAGATAATACATTTACAAACCATTTGTATTTTTAATAAAGTTCCGTATTTTATAAATACAGTGTCACAGAATTCACTAGTAACCGAAGATCGCGATGTTTTTAAATTATTAAACGTTCTATGCTGTTCTTGTTAATAAATACACATATATTTGAAGTCATCATTGAGTTCTTAACTGAATGGAGTATTTAGAATATCAAAACTCTGCATTTGACTTTTCTCAGATCGAAAAAGTTGAGAAATATTTTCTCCTTGGATTCGAATGAAAAATACATTAGTTGATGCAGAATTTGACTTTGATGATAAATATCTGGTTGATTTTGGTTTCTTACGCCTTTATTATGAGCTAAAGTACGGTTTTCTGAAAAATATGAAATACCGTAATGAACAATATCTTTTACTTTTTTGTTCCATATTATTACGTTTGTTAAGCAATTTGCTGATATTCTGAAAGTTTGTTTAAAATTCAACCTGCGTACGTTCCTGCATTTCGCAATGAAATGTTAAACTCTGAGCTTCTCTAAAAAAAATTTTCTTTTTTCCCTACTTTTTTCTTATCGATAAATCCTTACGATAGTCATAAGATTTTTTATTCTTTGTCATGAATTAACCGTCAACGAGCGACAATAAAGATCAATGAACGATAGATGACGTTGTGTTTATGATTCCATACTTAACATACAATCCCTATCGTCACTTGTTTGTTTGTATTTGTTTACCTGCTTCTTTCTTGTGATCAATTAGTTGCTGATTACAACTTTTTTTATAAGACAACAAATCAAATAAATGACTTTCATTTTAACCTCCTTTCTGGATGTATATTTTGTTTATGTTATTCTTGCGTAATTTTGTACTTTCATTCTCATAAATAAATACTCTGTTTTTTTGTCTTTTTTCTACATTATTTTTTTTTTGATTTTTTTCTAGAAATACGAAACGATCTATTGATATAACATGGGTATTCTTAAAAATTTCGAAGGTGATGAAAATGAACATGTCAATTCTATTTCACATATTGATACTTTGATAAATACAAATCATTTGAAGTAAATAATTTTGTCTATTGATAACATTGATAATATGACGACTTTTTTTTATAAATTTTATTAGTGATGCAACATCATCAAGTGAGGATGAAGAAACGCATGAAAATACAATTGTACCAGTTCCAGCAACTATTTCGACTGTTCCACTTACATCTAATCGAACGCCTAAGATAAAAAAAACTACATCAAAAATTCCAAAACCAATATTACAAGTAAAAAATATTGGTGGTAAAAAATCTCAAGGACATCGACAAGCAAGACGACATGAAAATAGTTTGTTTATTATTCAGAAATTTTAATTAAACGATTGCTGTTAATTTTAGTGTGCTTTTTACTTAATCTTGCAAAAGATTTAGATGAAGATTTTGCTGAAGTCAATATAAATGATCTTGTTGAAACAACAATATCAGCATTTGCGCAACTTTTATTAAGTAAAAATAAAATGAAGGTAGATTACGTTATTTTAGATAGACAATATTTATTATTATTATTATTATTATTTTTTACCCATTATAGTTTATCTTTCCCTTACCTAGAGGTTCTCTCTAATCAAGGGTTTTGTTCTTTTAAAAATTTTGATAAGAAAACACAGCAGTTCATTTTATTCAGCATTCGCCTCTGGATAGAACGACTGTAAATCTATCGAATCATGGAAATCCATGCGGATTAATTCTTTTCAATAATAAAAAAAAGATACAAAACAAAAGTAGTTATGCTGTTTTATTATTTTCATTTGTCAGTTAGTGTAAGTAGAATTAACTTTGTTTTCGCTCATTGGCAAAAGTTTTTTGTTTTTTTATGCGAAAAAATAATTCACTTAATTTACAATTAGAGAATGTCACATGTTTAGTTAATTAGTAGTTTCTTTTTCATAAATATTATTTCATTTATTTATGAATTAGATTTGGAATGAATTTGTTGAATTACCTGAAAGTCAACAAGAACATATTGTTAAAATGGCGACAAATAAAAAAAGAGTAAAAAAGTTTCGTCGAGAAAAAAATAAAAAAAGATTTAATAATGATACAACATCAATTAGTTGCAGTAGTGACGATAATTTCGAAACATTTGTTCTTATTGAAAATCATACAACAATGAATAATCAAGAGTCTATTGATCCATCATATCGACAAGGTATTTTAATATATGGATGGCTAGAAAGTTTTTTAGACAAGATTTTTGTTCATGTTACTTCGATTTAAATAAGTCAAAGAGTATAGGTCGCGCCCAGAATTTCAATATGGATTTTTTAAATTGTTATGTCTATTGTTATTGAAAAGTAGTGAGGGATTTTTTGGAAGACCTGAAAAATTACTTTTTAAAATGGTTTTTTCGTAGTGGACATTTCTCTAGAAAACGTGATATTGAACTAACGATCGAAACAAGGCTGGCCCGACTGGGGGTTGTGACAACCCCCCAATAATCGAAAATTTTCGTTTTTCCCCAGCGAAACTGAAATTTTTTTCTTGAGTTCTATCAGAAAAAAATTTTATTCGCATTACAAAAATCCGGAATAACCCCGAAAAAAACGTGGCAACCCTCCAATGTTTGCTGACTCGGGCCAGCCCTGCGAGGAAACCTCTTCAGTTGCCTTCTTTCGCTTGCAATAATTTTCTGTCCATAAATTCCAGATGATGTTCTAATAAAAATTCCAAAACGGTTTAGAGTTTTTATTAGAACATTATATAGTATCTGTAGGCAAAAAGAATATTGACATTGGAAAGAGGGAGCTGAAAAGGTTCTTTGACAAGCTGTAGTTTTTACTTAAGTGAAGCTACAGGCGTTTTTTCAAGAGTTCTTTTCAACGTAAAATGATTGTCAATTTTTCAATAATGAGTATTTGAAGAAAACGAAAATTGAAGTGTCTTATCGAAAGACAAGAAAAAAGGTTTCAAATAGTGCATTTTTTAGAGTACGTTCTGATATAGAAGCCGAGATATAATTAGAGCTCCTAGTTTTTAGTTTCGAATTATACTAGTGAAAATACAACATTTTTTGAGACTTTCAAAGATTATTCTATTTGTCTTGAAAACAAATCTGAGATAAAATTTCAAAGGCGATATTCGAAAAGAGTGCTAAGTTCTGATCCTAATTCATAACTTTTAATACTTTCTAGTGGATCAAAAGTGAACAAACATCTTGTCTAAAAACTTTCCGATTATCCTTAAATCTCCTTTAATCAATAATAAGTTTGTTTTTTTCTTGTAGAAGAAGCTGATAAATGTTTTCAACGTATTGATCCGAATATTCGTTATACATTAAAAAGTATGCTCAAACGACATCATTTACCATTGGTAAATATTGTAATTTGTATGTTTATAAAAGAGAAAAAAAACCTGAATATATTTAGGATCGTATAAGTTGTTTTGAAGATGATGTAATACCATTTTTTAAAGAACATTCTGATTCAGTTTATTTACGAGATTTAAATAATGGTTTTGATCGTATGTTACTTCATGCTGTCTGTCAATATTTAAATTTGATTTCAAAAAGTAGAAATCAATATTTGTGTTATTCATACATAAAAGATAATTTAATTTTTCTTTCTTTTTTTTTGAAAGGTTTTACTCAAGATGGCGAAAGATATATTCAAGTTGAAAATCGCCGTAATACATTCGTTCCGCCGATAATATTACTTTCGAAATATATTATGTTACTCGATGGAACGACGAAAAACGATTTGTAATTTTTTTGTGTACATGTTTTCGAATATTTTAATCATGCTTAGAAAACCTTGTTTTCTTTTTTTCCCTTGTGTATCTATAATACCCTCCTTAGGCCTTGTACACACTGAATAAAATAATGCTGCATTAACCAATGAGATTGTTAGAAAAGTTAAATCAGAGTTAAGTCATCTTTTCGAGATGACTTAACACTAATTCATCAATCACATATGAAAGGTATCTCGCCAATAACAAAACACTCGTGCCGACGCACATTTTCACATATTTTTTGTGAGGACATATCAACATGAGAAATGGACCTCTTGATTTTTTTCGACGTCCAAATGAATATCGTTGCTTTTACTGATTATGTATAGTCATATTTTATTTAGAAACAAGAAATTCTTATTTTCTTCATTCATTTTAACAATGAAACCACAATACATACGCTTGGTCATGTCGTCCAACAACAATCCTCAAATTAATGGTTCACCACAAAATACACCTGCAGTTAGAACTGTACAACAATTACTACATCAGCAAAACTCATTGTCTTCTTTTCAAGTACTGAAAAAAATTGAATCTTCAGTTTCTACATTACCAACTCGCATTGTTATAACTTCACGACCTACAACATTTCATTATTCTAATGAAACAATACCACAACAAAGTGATAAATCAAACGTTGAATTACCAGTTATTGAAACATTTTCAAATTCACCATCTTCTCTCGATGTACCAGTAACTACATCCAAAACTATCGAAGCACCTTCAACAACAAGTGCTTGTAAGTTGATTAATTCAAGCATCTCTTTTTTTCAATTTTACATATAATTTAATATTTGTCTAAAAAAAACAAAAATATTTTTTTCTAGTAAATAAATTATTCCTCAAAAGGCAGATAAGAAGTTTCGAGTTAGGCATTTACTAGTGCTATAAATGCATTTGAAAATTTATTTGGTTTAGGTTTTAATTCATCAACATCAATTATGAAGTCAACATCATCGAATACCAAACTAAAGAGACATCAATCAGCATGTGTTGAATCAACACAACATATTACAAAGAAAATAAAGAAAAGAAAAAGAAAAATGATGAAATAGGTAAAATAGTTTCAATAAATGTAATCAATTAATTTTTTTTAGAATCCAAAGTAGTTAAGCGTGCAAGAAACTGAAGTGAGAGTGAAACATTAACATTTATTGGAATATGGAATGATTATTACTCGAGATTGAACAGTGGTGGTCAAAGAAATTCTTCGATCTACAAGTTGATGGCAATCGAACTAAACTCAATATTAAAAGATCGATGCCTAAACGGTTTTGAAGTTAAAAGTAAAATTTCTAATCTTACAATGGAATATAGAAAAAAGAAAAAAGAACAAGGAAAAACGGGGGCCAGTCCATCACCATGGCCGTACTTTGATGCAATCGATAAATTACTTGGTAAGCCTAACTTGCTGATTAATATTTAAAACAATATGTTTAGGAACTTTGTCTATATATAGAAAAGAGTAGTTATTATACAAAAAAAACTTTGAAAAAAATATTTTAAAAACTTTTATGTTTATATTTTTTAAGACAGAGGCCATACAATGATGATTCTCTTCTATCTGATTCCATAGTGACTGATGAAACACAGTCAGAAGATATACAAGATATTGTACCATGTGATTTAAATGCAACTCAAGTGTCTGAACAAGTGAATGATTGTATAACAATCAGCAATACTAAAGAAGCATCTGATTCTCATCTTGGCAATTCAAATAATTTATCAACACCTTCTGGTAATTGCACAATTGCATCTGAAAGTATAGAGAAGAAAAAATGCCACAAAGATAAGAATTCAAAAAAAAACGAATGTCCGAAATAAAGTAATAATAACCTGAGTATATATTGACATAAATATTCTTTTTATTATAGAGTTGATCTTATGCAAGAACTTCTCGGTAAAATTGAAGATGCAAGTGAGATTGCATGTCGATCTGAAGTGAAGATAATAGAGTTGCTTGAGAAGCAAACCAGGTTACAAGAAGAAGGTTTGAAAACAGAAAGAGAATTCTTAGATGTTTTTAAGAGCATTGTAAACAATGTAAGTTCAAATCGTTAAAACTTCATCAAAGTGTTATTTATTTATCTGCCTTAAATAGTCTTTCACAGATACTCATTCATTGTACGCTAGTCTATACTTTTTTGTCTGATGATCATTTTGTGGAAATTGTTTCGCTTTCTCCTTGTTAATACTTTTGTCAGACTAGTTCTTTTGGTTATTTCTGTGATTCATTTGTGATTTCTATTTGTCAATACTATAATAAAATTATTTATTTTTTGTTATTTATTTTTTATAACATATGCCTCACTACGTTTTAAAATACTATGAAGTTTAACAGTTTCTTAAAGAAGTAGCAGCTTCTTCAATGATGTTTTAAGGAATATTATTAGTAGGTTTTTTTTTGTAGATGAATCAAACAACTGCTGCCACTTTATTACATGTATATTTATCAAAAAAGAAAAGATTAAATAATGAAATAATTAATATTCGTTCTGAATCTCAACGTTTATTACGTAAACTTTGGCGTTATCTAAATCTTCAAAATACACTTGTTACAGTTTTATTATTGTTAATGAATAATTCATTTCAAATTAATCGTCGTGGTGCATGATGCCTAAAGAAATGTGATCGGTGGTGGAAGGAAGTGGTACCGGTGATGACAAATAAACAATTTAAAGAAAACTTTCGTCTAGAACGACGTACATTTTCGGCCCTTCTAAATCAAATCGGTTCATATTTACAGAAAAATGATACAAATGTTCGAGTATGTATTCCTGTTGAAAAAAATTTTGTTGCGCTTTGTATACACTTGGTTCAAGTTCAGAGTTTAGAACTGTAGCAAATCTATTTGGGTTAGGAAAGAGTACCGTTGGTCAGATACTTCATGAATTTTGTACCGTACTGATTGAATTGTTTTTTTTTCGTCTGATAAAATTTCCGGGCAATAGTCAAGCAATTGAAGAAACTGTAAATGGTTTCTTAAATAATTTCGAGTACCCGATGTGTGTTAGAGCCTTAGACGGCACACATATTATCGTACAGCCACCGGTCGGACTTGAAACTGATTATTATAACTATAAAAAGTTTCATTCGATCATCATGCTAGCTGCTGTAAATGCTGATCTAAGATTCATATACGTCAACGTCGGTGCACCCGGCAGATGCAACGACGCCTCCGTATATACGAGATCGAATTTGTCTGATGTGATCCAGAATTCGATTTATGAAAATCATTTCATGATGATAAATGGTACTAAAGTACAATGCCACTTAATAGCAGATTCTGCATTTGCTCTGGATCACACGTTGATTAAGCTTTTTGCAGAACGTGTTGATATGCGAAGGGATTACAGCTTGTTCAATTATCGTTTGAGTAGACCTCGATGTAGTACCGAGCGTGCTTTTGGCATGTTGAAAAATTGATTCAGGCTTCTCAATAAGAAAATAGAATTTGACATTAGCAACACTATAAATGTGATTAAAGCAGCAGCAATATTACACAATATGTGTGTTGCTAGTGGAGATGGTGAAGAAATCGAGTGGAACACGTCGCACCCGGTTCATAAAAAGCCGGCTTATAATATAGCAACAGCAGCAGGAGTTGATGTAAGAGAAGCACTAGTTCACTATTTTTTGCAAAATCCAATCTAAGTTTTTTCTCATAAAAAATCATTTTCATTTGTTATTTTTTTATTAAAAATTATTGTATTTGTAAAAAGAAAATTAATTGTAAAAAAATTATTCTTTTTGTAAAAAGAACATTATTTGTAAAAAAAACTTATTTGTTAGAGAAGAAAATTATTTGTAAAAAAAAGAAACCTATTTGTCATATAAATTATAGCTTCTTGTTGAAACAAATTGTAAAAAAGTTATTGTTTGTCAAAAAAATACTTGTAAAAGAATTGTTTTTTTCTTGTTGTTGTCGACGTTTTTTTTTCATCAACATATGACTGTTTATGGCATATATTTTCTTTTGTGAAAAAACAATTTTCTTTATTGTCATTTAATTTTTGTTTTTGTAAATTATAATGTATCATTTTTTTGTGGTGAAAACTGCTGCTTCATCATACATATTTATCGATACTCTTTCTGTAAGAGTTTTTCTTCATGTAAGGTGCCAGTAATGCAAAATTTCAGCACTCCTTATTTTTAACTCAAATACGCATCACTAGATTCAGTTTTCTCTGCTGATTACGAATATGTCCTTATTTTTTGATTTGGCAAAATGTTCGGGCAGAAAAATGCAAAATACTGAGGGGATGTCAAAATTTGCAAAAAA